CCACACAAAGATGGCGTGGTCCAGGACCTAGTTCCGGGCATAAAATAAAGTTATTTAAAAAGGTAAATTGAGTGGCCTAAAGCCATTTGGTGGTGACTAGGGGCACTATACAATGTATTGGAGTAGGAAGGGGGTTTAAAAAAAACCCAGATGTGACCATGATAGTGCCGCTTTAAGCCTGCCTGTTTTAATGTGATACTTGTGTAACGTATACTTGTTTAACTGCCTCATGTGTAGTAGTTAGCTTGCACACTAACTTAACCATTAATTGTTTTATCTAAAAGAAGGTTTTCTATTGAGTTTCATACTGCATGTTATTACACTTGTTGCCTTGTTGATCACTGGTATTACTATTAGATTCTGCACTAGATTTTTTAGTTAATACAATATATATTTATATTTTGTACAATATTGCCTGTTATTGTATCTCTAAATTAGCACCAATGAAGAATCCAGTGTAATTATTTCATGTATGGTGATTAGTAAGGCATCTCCCCATTATCAGATTCTTGCCTTGTCCAAATAAATGTAAAATTTGTAACGATTGTAACGTTTGGCAATAATGCCGTTGTACTGGAGATGGGTTTTTTTTTTTTTCATGTAATAACTTATCTGTATATGAAATCCTAGAGATATGAACCTCCATAATTGAATCCATTACACTAGGTAAGTTATTTGTGTGAGTTTACAAATCACTGGGTTGTTTTATTTTAAATCATATTCTATACACATTTTTACACATTCACCTCTGTGCTTTCTTGTATTTTAATTTAGCTGTTTTTTAGAGAACTGACTTGGTAGTTGCTGCCAAAATAATTATTACATATTGCAATTCAGCTCAAAACAAATCTTCAAGTCTAACTTAAAGTTATGAGTTTCTCTAAGAATTCAGAAACAGATCCATGATAGTTACAAATATTGATTGCAGGCCGAGCATAATTCATCACATCAGGAATGTTTTGTGTGTGTGTTAGGTTCAGATTGTGTATTAATATCTGGGGTCAGTGAGACCACAATCACACAGCATAAAAAAGCGAATTAGTTCTTCCAATTCCTCCCATACCCCCAGATACTTGGGTGCAAGATAATTAATTTTAAAGGAGCTCAGCAAATTTTCCACCTTGTCTATTTTGGCCAGAATATTACTTAAATCTTCACAATTCCATCTTTATTGAGTAAATTGAAAATTTAAAAAAAATTAACAAAAACTAAAAAAATACCTATTCACTGTTATATCTCACACAACGTGTTAACGTTGTCAACTTAAACCCTATATCTCTCTAATCCACGACTACACTTATCCCTCAATTTATCTAATTTATCTATATTGTTCTTGAATCTCCATCTACCATTCTGGGTACATTTTGTTATAAACATATCTCACTTTCATTAAACGAGCATTTGAACAGCTTTAATCAGCTGTTTACTCAACTTGATTTATCATAATTTCTTGTATGCTTTTCTTACCCTCTGTGTATTCCTGTAAACTTGATTGGTTCTTTATACATTTAATTATTGATAAAAAAACAAAACAAAAAAAAGCATAGGAATAATTGCTTCTATGAAACATGAACAAAACATATTTGTGCATGGACTACCACTAAAAACTAACATATGCTAATGTTGCATCTAATTTGCACAATGCAGAATGTATGTCACCATGCCACTGGCAGGAGTTAGGCACAGAAATAAATTAACCAGTCCCACACTAGGATTAATGACCCAGTCTATCACCTACTCCGACATTTTGTGAGTGCCACTGGCAGTAGAAAGAGGACAGAGAAACCACTCAATGTTTCGACACTAAACGACTTTTGTCAAGGGCCATTGACTATTGTACTTTGTTTACTCTATATGTTTATTAACTGCAGATATATGAGTTCTCTAGGGGTGTATATGGATCATTATTTTACATTTGTATTGCTATGAAATAAAATTTTATTTATATTATATGAGAATGCGGGTATTTCTTTAATATTTGGTTTTAATGTTATGTCTGATCAATGTAAATGCATAGATATGTGGTTGCTTCTTAAAATAACATTTGGACATTCATGCCTAGTAAACATTGAGGTACCAGTTACTAATTATGGTTTGGGAAAGAGAGAGATGAGCACCAGAAGGAATGAAAATTAATATTGGCTGCCTAGGAGAGTGACTCCTCTTAAAGGGACACTATAGTCACCCAGACAACTTCAGCTCAATTAGGTGGTCTGGATGCCAGGTCCCTCAGGTTTTAACTCTTCACATATAAACATAACAGTTTCAGAGAAACTGCTATGTTTACATTTGGGGTTAATCCAGCCTCTAGTGGCTGTCTTCCGAATTTCACCTCCATCGCGCAGAGCGTCCATAGGAAATGCTTTCCTATGGTCACTTTAAATGTGCGCGTGGCACTTGCCGCGCATGCGCATTCGGCTCCCGTGGCGTCGGATGGGGAGCTGACGTCGGACAGGGAGGAGAGGTCACCAGCGCCGAGGGGGATGAAGGGGGTTTAACTCCTTCAGCGCCACAGGAGGGGGACCCTGTGGGTGGTGGCACCCTCAGGGCACTATAGTGTGAGGAAAACCGCTTTGTTTTCCTGACACTATAGTGATCCTTTAAGCTTAGGATCATGTATGTCCCAATGCTGTTATACGATTTACATATCTCACACTAAGTCTAATTGTTATGATGTAACACTGTGCAATACAGTATTTGAAAACCTAATTTGTTTCTTGAAATAACAAAAATTCAACAGATGCAGAAATATTGTCTCAATATGTATGGAACCACAGCCTATTTAAAAATAATCTCTGAGTTCTGTGTCATGCCAATAAAATAAAAAGAACAAATTAACTTTTTTTCTCAGGACTTTTATACATACTTAATCATTATGCACTTACTCTCCCATTGTCATTCCAGTTCAAAAGACATTGACACCATCATATCTCATCTGAGAACCAAAGTTCTAAGAGTTTGATGTTCTCCTCTTAACTAATGTATTGAATTTTGCCACTGGCATGCTTCTGAATATACAGTCATGCTGTTTTACTTCTGATTTTAATGTCACCAAACATGAATCTCTATGAATACATTCATATTCTTGTTACCCATAGAGTGGAACAAAAATGTGACAATTCAGTGAGAAAGTGTATTATGAATTCTTGTTTTTCTGTGTACTGTTCTCCATGGATTGTGTTTTAGAAGAAACAAATGTGTCCAGGTTATTCAGGTTATTCAGTGCAGGTATTGTACTTTTTTATGGAATTACAATAATATGTATTTTGTGCAAGAATTTAACATTTTAATAACTGAGGGTAATTTTAGATTTTCTGTAAATAATGACTGAAGCACTGTTGGCATTTTTGATGATTATGTTATGCTTTTTTTTTTATTAATTGCATTCATACATGTAGTATCTTTTTTGTTTTTTTAAAACAGAACTGTTATGACAGAGATTTTTGCACAACCCAAAAACAAAGTAATGCTCCATGATGCTATCTGGTCATTTAAAACATCTACTGAAGTGAGTTAATCCAGTACTGTGGACACCCACAGTGATCCACAAAGAGTACGCTGTTGCAACCTGCTATTCGCTATTCCTATTATTTTATTGTAAAAGAAATGTGGAATTTTCTACACTTGTCCTACTCAGTCCATGTAATCAGAACTCAGAAGAATAATAACCATATTTTATCCTATATGCCCCTATTAATTATAGGAACTGTCAAATGACTAGATAATTATATAAATACAGTATAACCAGCCGAAATGCAAGGTCTTTGCAGTATCACAATTTGTTTTCTGTTACACTTTGTACTCTATGAGTGCATTGTAACTCACGCTTACTGTATCAATGTTAAAGGGACACTAATGTCATCAAAACAACTTAAGCTTAATGAATAATACAGAATGCAATACACCCTTATATAAGAAGTGGAATAACACAATGTGGAGATAAACCCTTAAACATTGTTTACCTAACATAATAGTCTCTCAAAACTGTAGAAAGATATATCAGGACTCCTCCAGGTCCTCAATAGTATATAAACACAGAAAATAACTACAGTGGAAGGAAATCAAACCTCATAGAGTAGTACAGTTAATACACCTTTAAACAGTGTGTTTTAGATTGCACTCACAAGCATATGATTGATTGTAGGCACATCACATGATATAACATGATATTTCTTCCTGTCCAGGAAGAAAGGCTAAAGTAAGATGTTTGGAACATACTAATAATATACGCAAAAAAACTACCACACATTCGGTTTCAATGCATTGTAACACGTGTCCTTTTTTAAAAATAATAATAACCTTAATTTCATTGCAGTAGATGTAACTATGTAACTATGTAAGTATATCTTGATGAGAGAGGAGGAGACTTGATGTTGAAATTAAGAAAAAGAGAAGGGTTTTGGATCCACAAAATAAAAAAATTTGCAGTTAAATGTTGATTTTAATTTGGTGTGTTTTTTAAAATAAGAAATGTATTATCTTATTTTACAATATTATTATTATTATTGTTATTTTTAGACTTTTTATATCTATATATTGCTTGATTCATTTTCAGTCATTCTGGGGTTTGCTGATTTTTTTTAGGTTTTTAAAGCATTTTTATCAAGTCATTTTTATGAAGAATTATTTTTTATGGATCCTTCATCTATTTTTTAATATTAGTAAATATTAGCACCTATTCACCTATTCACCTTGATAACGATTATTGTGAACAATAGAGTATTTTTGATTGTATTATATTCTGATGTTTTTACCATTATTCTGATATTTGTTTATGTTTTTTTCTTATATCACATCGCCTTAATTTTTGGAGTATTATTTTGGACACTTAGATGACATTGAAAATTTTCGGCACTCTGCGCTAGCAGTGGAACGCAAGCACTGTGTCCGACATCCCCATAATGGAATGCACATACAATACGTTCATTAACGGAACATGGAGACACAAAAGCATCATATGAGAATGAGGCCTGGAACACACCCACATCCGGAGGTAAGACAGCTGTACTACTCGTCGTTGATAGGCTGGAGGCAATGGCGGGAATAATGAATATGGATATAAAAAAGAGTGAGTGATACCCAAGACCCAGTACACATTTACAGGAGACCGGATGACTTTATAACCCCTGAGGAAGTCCGGGCTATAGACGGACGAAACGTGTAGGGTTGAGCTGTAGCAGAGAGTTGATTTTATTTTATTGTTTATTTATTATTTTGTTTGGTTTATAATAAATTAAAAAATGTAAGCCAGTTATGTGAAGCTGTCTTTTGGAATCCAGCCAGTGGCAACATCTTCTGAGATTTGATGTGACTTGATACCACTGCAATTTTTTTAAGTGTAACCCATTAAAGTGCTATGTCTTTTTTATTTGGTCTACACTTATTATAATTTTTTTTCACTCTATCCTTCATGCCCTTTTATCGTGTCTGAGGATTTTCAGTCATCTTATATCATGTGATGTGCCTACACTCAATCATATGCTTGTCGGTCCAATCTAGAGCACACTGTTTAAAGGTGTATTAACTGTACTACTCTATGAGTGTTTACTTCCTTCCACTGTAAATATTTTCTGTGTTTAAGCTTAATGAAGCAGTTTTGGTGTATAGATCCTTCCCCTGCAGTCTCATTGCTTATTTCTCTGACAGCTAGGAGATAAATCCCTTTGTTTATGCAGCCCCAGGCACACGTCTCTGCTTGTGACTTAGACAGCCTTCCTAAAAACTTCCTGTAGAGTCATATAATGTTTACATTTCCTTTATTTAATTTAATATTTCTTATCTCCTGCTCTGATGATAGCTTGTCAAAGCCTTCTGTATGTAATTCAAGTTCAAATTACAGAGCAGGATACAAAAACTTTTAAAGTAAGTTACATCTGATTGAAAATAACAATATCTAGTATTTATATAGTGCACTTCTCCCAGTGGGACTCAAAGCACTTTTCAGCATACACTCCAATTAATGGTACTAATTTTATTGATGAAGGGCTGAGTTAACTGTGCTGGGATTAGAACATGTGACCTTGTATCTTTTTTGAACATACTCTGTTGACAGAAAATTTACCAAGTGAGCTACCAAACTGAGCTATAATGGTATCCAAACTTTACATTTGGTGCTTTTTGTAAAACAATGCTGCATGAAAAGGCATATGAATACTATTTTCCAATTGATGTTTAACCGGTTAAGGACACATGACATGTGTGACATGTCATGATTCCCTTTTATTCCAGAAGTTTGGTCCTTAAGGGGATTAAAAGAACATGATAGGCACTTCAATCACTTCATCTGTGTGCTATTTCCCCCATTTTAACCCTATAGCTGAAAATATTGCCGTATCACCAAAATAGTGGAGCAAATCTCCAATATTTCAATGAGATGGTCTCATTGCCATGTATGCACACTAGTCTTCCAATGCTTTCCTAAAGGAAAGTATTGGATTGACTGATATCATCAATCTGAGCCAAAGAGGTGGAGCGGCATGCTGGAGACCAGCTCTAAGAGGTAGAAGAGATAACTAAACTCCCTTTTTTAATCCTGGCAGTAAGTGCCCTGTCACCTAACGGTGATTAGTCACCATCAAAGCTCAATCAAAGTGTGGAAAAAGAAGCCCCTGCTTGCACTTATATAATACTAACTCAAATTGCTTAAAAAAACAAACAAACAGGATGATGCCCACACCATTGGCCACACCCCTTGTACATCACAGGACTGAGCTAGTTTGCCAGATGCGACTAAGGTGTTGGTCCATTCCACTGTCCTTTCTCGCCTTGACTACTGTAATCCACTTCTCAGTGGTCTTACATGCTCCCAACTTGTGCCGTTACAGTCTGTAATGAATGCGGCAGCGAGGCTCATCTTCCTCTCCGCCCACACCTCCAATGCCTCACCCTTCTGTCAGTCCCTACATTGGCTTCCTATAAAATATAGAGCTCAATTTAAAATTCTGGTTCTTGCTTTCAAATCGCTACATAATGCTGCTCCCTATCTATCCTCCCTTATACACAAGTATGTCCCAAATAGGCCCTTATGATCTGCTGAAGACTTACGTCTAACTTCTGTCTGCACTCCCACCTGTGATGCTCGCCTTCAAGATTTCTCGTGGGCTGCACCGTTCCTGTGGAACTCGCTTCCCTCCTCCGTTACATGCTCACCCAGTCTCCACTCCAAAAAATTGTTAAAAACCCACTTCTTCATAAAAGCGTATCAATTAAACTGTTAATAAATCCTGACTGATTCCTCTACTGCAATTGTCACTTGTCTAATACTATCCTTACCTTTTTGTGTCATTTTACCCCTCTGTTCCTGTGTGTCCAACTTGTTGGAATTTGATGGCCCTATAAAAATAACATCATAATAACATAATAATAAGAAATTAGCTCGCTCTGCCCATGCCCTCCCCTTCTATAATGCAAGCGTTGATAAAAATCAACTGAATGTACAGTTAAGATGACTCAATATTCATGGGTTGCAGCAATGGCTATAGTACACATTAGCACCCAATAAAAGTCATCTGAATGCACAAACACCATATGGAAGAATATCGTTTGGCACACATTTGTTCATTTGTTTATTTGGTGATTATGTAATTTGTTTTCATCCAAACTCCAAGTCAGATAAAAACAAATGCCCAAGTCTAGTGACTAGGGCACTACAGCGTTAGGATTCCTAACGCTATAATGTTTCTTTAATGCCAAATGTTGCTTACTTCATAACTATGGAAGTCCAGCTTAAAAAAAGTGCTGTAAGCCTATCCTTTCACCAAAGACAGTAAGAACATTTTCATGTGATAGTTTTTTTAGCATGCGTTTAATTACTCTGCATTTGTGTGATATTATAATACACTATGTAAATTCAATGTAATATTTCCTACCATTATTCTTTAAACTCTTTAACTGTAATTGTATTTCTCCTTAAAATCAAACTATATGAGTTATTCCTTTAGGAAAACAAATTACATTTGTTTTTGTTTTTTTACTTGAATATTTACTTGTGTACTTCCATTTTCAAGATAACAGTTTAAAAAGCAATAAACATGTTTGATGCGAATATTCTAAAATGTTTTATTTTGTATATAAAAAAAATCTAAATGACTCTATTAAAATTTCAGTATTAAACATTAACAGCAATAATTATAAGATAGATATTTAAATCAAGTAATCCATTCTGTACAGCTAATTGTCTAATTACTCTTCTCTTAGTTTAAAAATAGATGCATTCATATTTGCTAAATGCTAAAATCTCTAGTCAGAGTATTTAGATGATATCAGACTGATAAGCATTTTTCCTTTTAGTGGAAGTTGTTCTTCTCAAGGTATCTAGCTTTTTGGAGTCTTCTGTGCATAAGATAGGCAATTCCACCCATTAGGGTGCAAAGTAATGCTAAAAAGCCAACAGTAATCCCCAGGCCAACAGCTGTGCTCACAACTCCTTGTGAATCCATTTTAGAAGCACCTGAAAAATAAATGTGAACATTTTAGATATGTGCAAAACAAAGTGCATGCATGATTACTATTATCTTTCACTTATTAACCACTAACATATTCCACAATTTGAACAATGTATGTATACGATTCATTACTCCAAATGCCATTTGTGCATAGTTTATTAAATAAGAAGGTACCTTGGCTCCATGTTTCCATGTTTGATGTCACAAAACTATGATAGAAGCTATCAGTAAGATTATAGCAGCTGCAGTGCAGTTCCCTGTGTTTCATATTATAATTAAGTGGAATATCAAAGACACAAAAAGATTTTTTTTTTTTAAGCCATCAATGGGTTGGAATATGCAGCAATATCTCCATGCCTTGAAAGACCATTAGAATTGGGTAGGCTCACTGTAGCCTGTCTACAGTTGTGCTCAAAATGTTGCATGCCCTTCGAGAATTGGTAATATATATACTATTTTTAAAGAAAACGTGAGTGAGCAGGGAAAACACATTTCTTTTATTTCTTATTTGATTTGCATGCAACTGTAGGTTGTAACAGAATGGCACAATCATTAAAAAAACAAAAAACATGGCAATAAAGAAAAAAATGAAATGACCCCTGTTCCAAAGTCTGCATACCCTTAGTTCTTAATACTGTGTTGCCCCCTTTAGCATCAATGACAGCATGCAGTCTTTTGTAATAGTTGTCTATGAGGCTCCTAATTCTTGCAGGTGGTGTAGCTGCCCATTCGTCTTGGCAAAATGCCTCCAGGTCTTGCAAAGTCGTTGGTTGTCTTGCATGAAATGCACGTTTGAGATCTACTGAGAGTGACTCGATGATATTTAGGTCAGAAGACTGTGATGGCCACTCCAGAACCTTCACCTTTTTTTCTGCTGAAACCACTAGACTTGGCCTTGAGCTTAGGGTCATTGTCATGCTGGAAAGTTAAGAATGTCCCATGCACAGCCTTTATGCAGAAGAATGCAAACTGTCTGCCAGTATTTTCTGATGACATGTTGCATTAATATTGCCATCAATTTCCACAAGATTCCCTGTGCCTTTAGACCTCAGACCCTCCCCCCCAACAAAACATCAATGAACCATCACCATGCTTCACAGTTGGGATGGTATTCTTTTCACAATATGCCTTGTTGAACCCTCTCCAAACATAGCGCTTATGCTTGTGACCATAAAGCTCTATTTTGGTCTTGTCCCTTTAAATTACAGTGTGTGACCTGTGAGGCATATCAAGGTATTGTCTAACATATTGTAACTGGGCTTTTTTGTGGCACTGGCACAGTAAAGGCTTCTTTCTGACAACTCGACCATGCAGCTCATTTCTATTCAAGTATCATCGCTGCTTGAAACAACCACACCATCATTTTTCAAAGCATCTTGCATTTCTCCTGAGGTTACCTGTGGGTTTTTCTTTCTATACTGAACAATTCTTGTACCAGTTGTGGCTGAACTCTTTCTTGATCTACCCAGCCCTAGCTTGGTATCAAGAGATTGCTGAATTTTCCACTTCTTAATAAGTGATTGAACAGGCATTTTCAAGGCTTTGGATATCTTTTTATATGCTTTTCCATCTTTATAAAGTTCCATTACCTTGTTCCGCAGGTCTTTTGACAATTCTTTTCTTCTCTCCATAGTTTAGTATCTAGCCTGCTCAGTGCATCTACATGAGAGCTAGCAAACTCATTGACTATTTATGTACAGACACTAATTGCAATTTAACAGGTGTGAGAAACTAACCTTTAATTGCCATTTTAACCTGCGTGTGCTACCTTGTGTGTCTGTAACAAAGCCAAACATTCAAACGTATGTAAACTTTTGATCAGGGCCATTTGGGTGATTTCTGTTATCATTATGATTTTAAAAAAAGAGCAAAACAAAAAGTGATAATAATTGGCTTCATATGGTCACTATCCTTGAATAATGGGTATTGAGAAAATGGAATAATAACTTTCACTTTGTAGAGATATCCAGACTGATGACGCCTAGAGGACCAAGTAAGTGTTAACAATTTGAAAATGCTTTTACTCTTAATAGAGTGACAGATCCAGGGTACTCTTGGAACCACAACCACTGCAACTGACTGATCTGTCTATGGTGCTTACTATGCCTCATAAATGCCTCTTACAGTTTTATCAGCCAATTTCATGATTCTGTAAAGTTTTTGCTGTATTAAAAAATGTCAGCTTTTTAAAATATTTTTTTCCTTGAAATATGTAACACAAGAAAAAAATTAATTAAAAATGAATTATAATGAAATTATAAAATCTCAGCTATGCATTAATACATTTTAAATAGGCTAATATTTACTTTCTTAATTATTATGTAGGCATCAGAATCAGAACATATGATCAGGATTTTAAAGTGCACTAATGGAGCTCAAATGGTTAAAAATAAAAGTGTAGTAAAAATTAAAAAGCATGCCTAGGACCTTTCACTAACTAGAAAGCAGCATATCATACAGACACTATTGTACCTTATAAGTAATATATAAGGGGATTAAAATGAAAAATTACTTGAATAAAAGTACAAAATATGCTGTTTATATATCTATCAATTCATTTGTTACTTTTCTAAACTGACACTGATGTAATAAATGTGAAGAAAAGAAATACTCACCACTGCTTAAGCTTCCTGTTGTACCTGTAACAGAAATAGAGAAACTCTTTTAGCCGACATTGTAAAGGTGAGATTTGTTTTTGTTCATTAATGCATTATTGAACCAAGCCTTTGATATAAAACCTGAAAAGTTTCACCTCTGTGCACTAAAGGTGAATTTGTACAGACTTTGCAACCAATGAAAGAACTTTCTATCACTGAGTTACCTTCAGGCCAGCAGTAAAAAAATACATTAAAAAAAAAATTAGCTTTGATTCCCAAGATACTTGCTAAAACTAAAGGCTTAGTTAATCCAAAGTTATGAGGCAGGGACAGATTTTGATTTTACTGCACAGATCATAGATGGTGATATTTTGTGCTAGCAAATAAAAGAAAAATTAACTATTTGCAGTAATTTGGATTATGCAACTGTGTTACTTGTTAAAGATTTAAACAAAATGTTTGCCAAAAGCACATAATTTGAAAACGCTTAATGTCTTTTTTAAAATATACCACAAACTCACCATTAGATGTCAATCTCCATAGATCTCCTTATTTAATCCTTCAGCTCATTAAAGTGGTCTTGGTGCTCTGTGTCTGTCTCCTTAACCCTGCAATGTTAATTATTGCAGTTTCTTGGAAACTGCAATAATTACATTGAAGGGTTAGGACTACTTCTAGTGTCTGACAGTAAGACAGTTGTGAGAGGCACTTCCTGATGGTTAGGCGACTTTTGGTAACCTGACGCTGGATGTGCTCACTTTCAGAAAAAGGACATTCAGTGTAGGTAAAACCCCCATAGGAAAGCATTCCTTATGCCTATCCCACGCATGCTTAAACTCCCTCACTGTGTTAACCTCTACCACTTCATCTGGGAGGCTATTCCATGCATCTACTACCCTCTCTGTAAAGTAATACTTCCTGAAATTATTTTTTCCCCTCTAATTTAAGACTATGTCCTCTTGTTGTGGTAGTTTTTCTTCTTTTAAAGATAGTCTCCTCCTTTACTGTGTTGATTCTCTTTATGTATTTAAATGTTTCTATCATATCCCCCATCTGGTCTTTCCTCCAAGCTATACATGTTAAGATCCCTTAACCTTTCCTTGTAAATTCTATCCTGCAATCCGTGTACCCAAGGTATTGCAAATGGGGTATGTCCAGTCTTTTTTAGTAGCCACTTAGTCACAAACACTGGCCAAAATTAGCGTTCAATTTCGTTTTTTTACTTTTTTCACACACAAACAAATATGAACGCTAACTTTGGCCAGTGTTTGCGACTAAGTGGCTACTAAAAAAGACTGGACATACCTATATTGAATACCCTGGGTTGTCTACTTTAAAAGAAATATGTACATGTAGAGTGTTATTCAGAGCTTTATGAAAGATAATAGTGTTACAATGTCACTACTGATAAATTTTGAAAATGTATGTTTTTAAACCACAATATCCTACTTGTACTTATAGCCCTATAACTTGCAAAAAAAAAAAGCAAAAAAGCATGTAAACACTGTGTATTTTAAAACTCAGGACAGAATTTTGAATCTATTTAGCAGTTTTTTTCATTCGCTTTTGTAGATGAGTAAAAGATTTTTCAAGTAAAAGTCAAAAAACATGTATTTTTTTCAATTTTTCATCATATTTTTTTATTTTTTTTAAATTAAATTCCATGAGATTATATTAATAATGGTATGTAAAGAAAGCCTTTTTTGTCCTGAAAAAAAAATATATAATTTGTATAGGAACAGTAAGTGAGAGAGCGGAAAATTACAGCTAAACACAAACACCACAAAAGTGTAAAAAGAAGCCTGGTCGCAAATGTACAACATCGCAAAAACAGTCCGGTCCCTAAGGGGTTAAATACACCTTTAAGCTATACATACCACCATCAGCAGTTGTTATGATCCCAGTCGATGAAATTGTTGCCGGTTCTGAAACTGATGAAGAGTCTGTAGAGGTTGAAGCTGCTCTAATCGCTCTTCTTTTTCGTCGACAAGTCTATAAATAGATTTTACAGGTAATTAGTATTACTATAAACACTCGACATATCTGTAAATATATATATATATATATATATATATATATATATACACACACATATTATGCACCAAAGTGAGCATTGCTTGGAATTCAAAGTGTATTTAAAATTTATGGTCAAAATATCCTGAATTGTAAAGTTCTTGAGGTCAATTAAACTTCCAGTTTGTTATTTTGATCTAAAATGTGAATCACTTTGTTTGTATCTCCAAAAATTCTCACTTTAATGAATATTTGTGGTAGTTTTCTGCCAGCCTTTTATGAGTACTCAAACAATATATACTAGATTAAATAATTTTAATTTGTAGTGTTGCTAGGAAACTGCCTCCATACCTCAATGACAGTGGAATATAAGTGTTTTTTTTCATGGGGTTTACATTCATGTACATGCACTGATTTGGAAGAATGTAAGATAGACATTCACTGGTGAGACCTCACTTTGAGTATTGTACGCAGTACTGGAGACTGTATCTCCAGAAGGCTATTGATGCATTGGAGAGAGTTCAGAGAAGGGATACTAAACTGGTTCATGTATTGCAGGATAAAACTTACAAGGAAAGGTTAAAGCAAGCATGTCAAACTCAAAGGCTAGCAAGGGCCAAATAAACAAGGTTTAAGTTTATGTGGGCCGCAAAAAAAATAAATGTAAATTTTCATAGAAAGGTAGGTTTCTTTTGAAAAGTACAGTATTAAAAAAAAACAGCGACCCCCTCTACTAAACACCAGTCCCCCCTCGTCTACTAAATCGCAGTCCCCCCTCGTCTACTAAATCCCAATCCTCCCCTCGTCTATTAAATCTTAGTCCCCCCTTGTCTACTAAATCCAAGTACACCATCTACTAAACCCATGCCCCTGTTCTCACTCACACTCACTGAGACACACTCACTGACAGATATACACAGACACTGACATACACACACAATCACTTCAACACACACATGCACTCACAGACACACACATTCACTGACAGACACACACTAACTGACAAACAGGCTCCCTCACAGACACACACAATCACTCAAACACATAGGCTCCCTCACAGACACACACACACACACACACACACACACACACAGACTCACTGACAGACACACACACTGACAGAGAAACACACACACACACACACACAGACAGCCATACACACACACACACACACACACAGCCATATACACAGACACACAGAAAACCATACACACAGACAGCCATACACACACACACACACACACACACAGACAGCCACACACACAGGCAGCCACACACACAGGCAGCCATGCACACACACATACAGCAATACAAACACACAGACAGCAATACACACACAGACAGCCATACACACACACAGACAGCCATGCATACACACACACACACACACAGCCATACACACAGCCAAATACACACACAGAGATCAATACACACACAGAGATCAATACACACACAGAGATCAATACACACACATATAGCAATACACACAGACAGCCATACACACAGACAGCCATACACACAGACAGACACACACACACACACAGACAGCCATACACACAAACAACCATAAACACACACACACAGACAGCCATACACACACAGCCATACACACACACACAGACAGCCATATATACACACACACACATACAGACAGCCATACACAGAAACAGCAATAAATCCAATCCATGGAGGTTCCACCTCACAACTTGCAGGACTTAAAGAATCCACTCCTAATGTCTTAGTGCCATATATCAGAGGACACGTTCAGAGGTCTTGTGGAGTCAATGCCTTGGTGGATCAGAGCTGTTTTGGCAATACAAGAAGGGCCTACACAATGCTAGGCAAGTGGTTTTAATGTTGTGGCTAATCCACGTATATAATATGGATTACACAGGATTGCATTCTCTTTGAAACATAAGATTACAGGTGAATTAAACAAATTTGCACAAGTCAGGTGCTTTGTCACTGCAAAAAAAAAAATTCTGCATATAAAGGAAAACAAGCAGTTGATATGTTATTATAGAAAATAATTTTTGCATAGACCAAATAAGTTTACTTTCATTATTTTTGTAATTTTTCATACTTACTTGTTTAAAGCTAGAGCATGCAGATGTTTCACAAAGTCGAGTAATGCAATGCAAGTAAAAAGTTGACACAGGCTTATCATATTGCTCTAGGAATCGGAAGGCTAAAAACGAAAACCGTGCATATTGACTGTCTCCATTTAGTGTTATATTAGTATATGGATCCCTTGAACATCTACAGGAAAAAGTACATAGATTGTTTAGTCATTAGCCACCGCACTGATTTCAGTGGTGTAAAGTTCATTGCGACCAAGGAGTCACGAGTTATGTTTCATTGTAGTGTTTGTTTTTCTTCTAAACTGCATCTAGGTCCTTCAGGATGCTTTGATTATAATATAAAATGTATCATTGCATGTGATATCTAAGGTTATTAAAAAATGAACGATAATACATCTCAGAATATACTTTACAGTACAAACTAAGGGCTCTTTTTCCAATGCCATTAGTAAATATCAGTTACAAGTTGTAGCTATTAACAGCCAAAAGCTTGTAGGAGTGACAAATTAAAACTGTGTTGCAAAATATTTGTAAAATTTCATTAAAACAGCTATCATTACAATTAACAACCTGCACATTAGCAACTTGATGGCAAGTAGCAACAGACAAGTAGTGGCAGGCCAGTAATAAATTGTAACAGGGTTGGAAGAAACCTTTTAGTTTATAGGTTATATTGGTATTTAGCCATGGTGGACACTTTAGTTTCATCAAATAAGGCAAGGTTAGGGCACTCTAAAAGAGTTGTGCTGCCCATCTGGGCATCCCCTATGTGAGAATGTGCAGACTAGCTTGCTCTGTTGTTATTTAAAGTTGAGGAGTCAGGCACAAGCAGCAGCAGTGCTAAAGCTGATCTACCACCCGTCCGTTATCCAGGCACATGCAAGGAAATCTCTGGACAGTAAGCATTTTAAACAGGAGGGAAGTGCAAGGGTGCAGCATCCATGTGCTGATGTACCATGACTTGAGTTTGAGGGACATTTGGGAGTAGAAGGGACCATAGATGCCTGGTAGCAGAACCTGCTGAAACAGAGAAGAGATAGGAGGTACCACACTGATCAAATGAGCTGCTACTAATGCCTTCAGCCCCCACCTGAGTGCATATTGGAAGATGGTGGAGCTGTTCGCACACAGAACACTGAGAAAAGGGCAAGATACCAAAAAGTGAGAGACAATTTTTCTACCAATTTGCCTTTCCATTTTTCACCTTAAAAAAGCAGACGAGGAGTGCAATGTACTATTCTATTCTATGAACACTACTATTGTAAAGTGTTGTTGTCTATCCTGAAATAAAGGTGTTTAAAAAAAACAAAACAAATAGACAAGCAAGCTAAAGTGCTTTAGGTGTCCAGAGTGTCCCTTTAAAGGCACTATAGTTAATCTCTAGTATAGCAAGAGATTCTGGGCCTCTTCTGGTCCTATATTTAAATATGATAGAGAAAGAGAAATTTGGCATTAAGCTAGCTAGTCTTTCACTATCTAGCTACACTTCGCTGTTTCACTGCTAAAGGGATCTGAGTTATAATTAGTTGAGCAGCCACTGGCTGTTTATTTTCTTATTCCCCACCCATGCAGGGCTGCTATGAGAACTCTTGGGACCTCTTACAAAACAACTGCCTGAGTTATCTTGCACATATGCACTCACTAATGCATAATACCAAACACAGAAATACACACATACACACACAGATATGCTTTCCTAATGCATACAAACATACACAGAACAAACTGCCTGATAAACATACACAGACAAGGACCCTCACTTCCAGACAAACAGACACACATTCTCCAATACATACACTGATAAATCATGGAAAACCCTCACACTTCCATGTGTATACTATACCCAAACACTGTCACACACACACCATCAGATACACAAACACTCTCAGATACATGCACTTCCGAACATGCTCACATTCTGAAATTGAATACATTGAATTGAAAGTTGTTTCTAGCCCCTCCTATCTGTCTATATTTTTCTATAGTGGCTTCTAAGAGATTTTAGAGTAATTGCTAAAAGAATATATTGTATGAAGATACTACTGTCAGATCATTAAGAAACAACATCAGGTAACACCTATTATATTGTTAACGCCCCCATTCAGGGATTGGAAAACAAATCTATAGCAAATTTGTTGACAGATTCTTAAAAATAGGAGAATAAGAATAGGATCAAGGAAGATGTGGTTCTGCTCACAGGTATATGAATGGTAGGTGATTAACAGATGCACACCGCTGTATGTGATGTGAGGATAAATGGAGGACATGTAGACAGGTTTCCTCCTGGTTAGTTTTGAGTCCCACAGTTTTTTTAAATATGTATTTTTTTACTGATTTATTTTAACATTTTGCCTGCTGTGTATTTAGTTATTAGGGAAGTATATTATTTTTATGTAAAGAACAGGCAATTCATTGTTCCTCTGTTGTCCAACAGAACCATCATTTTCCCCTGTCCTGAACCAGATCCATAATTTTCCCCTGCCCTCAAACATACATTTCAATGTATTGCCAGTGATGAATTCCTATTATCAGCAACAGAAATGCCTAATTTGTCAAACTTCCCACTTGTAGTATGGGAAAATGAGAATCGACAAAACTGAAATGGCAATGTGATAAAATAAAAATGTCATCACTTTGTTTTATCAAACATTATACCAATTTGCACCTAAACAAGTTGATCAAAGGACATGAAGGCAAACAACATTTACAAGTGCATGAATGATATTTACTGTAATTATAACATTTGCTGGTGGAGAAACAAGCAACAACAAAATTTTTAAAGCATTGGTTGATATGCATTAGAATTACCTATAGACATAAGTGACAGTAGAGAACAGTAGTATGTGTATTTGATATATCAATATTGTTCGTTTCCCTAGAATGTCTGGGTTCTTTCTGTCAGGGTCTTTAGAGGCCATGTTGGGCTTAACTCCTAGCCATATGTTGTAATTTTGTTAATGATTTAGTAAAGATATATGAACCCCTACCTGTTGAGTGGGTGGAAATATTTTATAAAACAAAACAGCTGTTGCTTTGTATGCTATTAAAATGTTGTTTTATCACTTTATGTACCTTTTTGTGCAAGTAAAGGGGGTTCAGGGAACTGGGCAAACCTTTGAAATCTATGCCTGAATTCTATTAGAGTGGGTTATCAAGGTATACTAGTTGGTGTGTCATATTGTCAAGCTGTGACATTTTAATTTGATTTTAAAATTGGCACAATACTACTGTAAAGGTATTTTAATTGAACATATAATTTGCTTGCTGATGTGGAATAGGTCCACAGGAGAGGTCTGATGGTCACTCTTCCCGGTGGTTTTTTCTCTTTATACCACCTTTGTCCTAGCAGCATGGTGGTCCAGGACAGTTTGTGTTGTTATTTAACGTGGATATTAACAGGTCTCCTTCCATCATCCTACCTCCCCTCTTCCTGACTCATCCTTATCTCCCCAGACCCATGCATTGTGTGAGTGATGACATAATATGTGGTAACTCACATCCTACTTTACCGTAATGGATAGGTAAAACAGAAAAACAGCTTGTACAACAAGCTTCAGTTATCTTGCCTACAGCTTTGCAACCCTCCCCGCCCCCCTCTTGCCCAGACTTTCTGTGATTGTCCATTCACAGACTTCCCAATGCAGCTCATTGAGAAATATTAAAAAGGCACGTGCTCTGGCAAGTGCCAGCGCTCTATCAAAATTCCATACCCCTGTCACTCCCAGTGACGGGCCCGCACCTGAATTGAGGATGAATCAGCTGCTGTCCTGTGCTCATGCACAGCACACGCGTGTGTAATATTGGGGTAGGGTTTTCTAAAGCTGTGAGCGCACATGCTCCTACATCAGCTGTGCAGGACGCATGAGCAATATAGGGTAGTAAATTCTGATGCGGCTATTGCGCTTTTGAAAAGTGTAGATTTTGTCAGTAGTATATGGTGGTAGTCCACTAAACAGCATGTGGGAAACCTGTTGGTCATTGTAAGCTAATTATTAGAATTGGACACTATCAGTGATATAAATGCATGATGGCATTACAATATACAATACGTCTGTTGTAACTTGTTGAACTTACCCAATAAAAAGATCATAGTAGGTAGAATTAGTTGGATATGGAGATGTGGAGGCATAGCACCGATCCAGATACACATTAAATCTGTTAAAAAATATTTAAATATGATAGTTTATTCTTATATTGTCTTTAGTGTTATATTATTTAAATTATGCAGTATTAATCAATATCCTACATAATAAGTAACATATATTTGAAATGCTCCAGACTATCACTTTTTGTTATATCAGATCTACCATGGAGCTGAATGGATGTGCAATAGTTCAGCTCCACTGTGCTCGATCGACAATCCACTCTAATCGGAAACTACATTCCACTATGGGGAACACCAAGAAGCAAAATACCTCTCACAATACCTCAGGAAGGACCCCCTCCACAAAATCAGGCTCCCTAACCAGATATTTCCATGACTTAATGAACCGAGAGTCAGAGGCCGCAGGAAACAAAATGGCGCTGACAGAACACCAAATGGACTCCTCTCCATGTAGCCCAGCGCCGTCTGAAGGCTCATACAAGTTACAGACCCATTTCACTTATCAATGTGGACATCAAACTATTTACTAAAATATTGCCCTCTAGATTGAAATTTTTCCTTCCAGAACTTATCCATCTGGACCAGTCAGGCTTCATGCCAGACAGGGAAGCAAAAAATGATACCACAAAAATAATAAATCAAATGCATTGGGTGCAAATGACGGGGACACCGAGTTCCTTGTTAGCCATCGATGCCGAAAAGGCGTTCGATCAGGTATACTGGCCCCCAATGACAGAAACAATGAGACACTTGGGATTTGGTGCAGAGATGGCTCGATTGGCTGAATGCGATCTACTCGTCGCCTACTGCCAGACTGCTTATCAATGACCAATTATCTAGTCCTGTTAGGATATCCACCAGCACGAGGCAGCAGTGCTCCCTCTCCCCCCTTATAATTATTCTGGTTTTAGAACCATTCCTACAGGGACTAAGGAACAATACACTGATCCACAGCTTTCAAATAAAAGGGGATAAATATAAAATATCTGCTTTTGCAGATGACCTCTTCTTCGCAATATCAGATTCTCTAAATTCAGTCCCACACATTATCGAAGAGATGGAAGTCTATGGAAAGATATCCAACTAAGTGTTAACTGCTTCCCCTGCACACAACACCAGACCTGGATAAACCATTAAAGGAAAATTTTAATTTCACTTGGGCCACAACCTCCATAAAATATTTGAGAAAACATTTACCGCATCAGATTAATCAACTGAATGTCTTAAATTCCCCCCCACCCCACTTTTAGAGGCTATATCTAAGGATATGAAAGACTGGCATAAACCGTGCTATGGTTGGTTTTGCCGGCTCAACATTCTCAAAATGAATGTGCTGCCTCGCATTTTGTATATACTGCAAACGATTCCCATAATACTTCCTAAGAATTTTTTTAAAACTATTAGGGTGATGGTTACATTCTTCCTGTGGGTCACATCGCACCCCAGACTGGCACACTCCCTACTTACCCAATGTAACGAATCACCTGTCACCCTGATTAGGTACCTCCGTTGATGGATGCTCCTAGTGCTCACCAAGGATCATCAGCACCGCACTGGACATCATAACCACTACAGACCCCATGACCTGCCGCAGCTTGGTTGGGGTCTCGCCATCTCCTACCCACCCTGGACCTACAACAAGGCTCCAGGTTCCAGTGGGTGAACCTCTCTTCCTCCAGAGAGCGAAGCAGGAACAGCTCTTAGAAGAGCTAGTGATTATTCAAGGGAGTATTAAGAGCATAGCAATCCCTTTTAGCAGTTTCCCCCAATAAGAGACAGAACTCAGTATTGAGGGTGAAGTAGAACAGAAGGTTTAATGACAGAGGCTTGATTTATATACAGTTTTCCCAACAAGCTTGACGCCCAGCTGGACCTAGTTGGGCACCAGACATAAAACATACAGGCTAATCAGAAACAGTGTGATCATGAATAACACTCCCACATACTGTACACAATCCCTCCCCTCTGCCTGTGATACAATTACTGAAGACAAAGGACTAACTCAATTAACTTTAACAGAAAAAAACATAAATTTTTAAAATATGGCACAAGTACCCCAAAATTAAACATATTCCTATAAGTTATATCCCCTGATATCCCTGATCTGGGTGAACAACATATCCCCAAATCACCCAGATCAGAGCAGGGGTTCCAGGAAATCCCTTAACAGCAAACCAACTAATCCCAATCCACTGGCAGCAGTCAGCTCCCCCGTCCATCCGAGAATGAATCCAAAGGGTAGAAGGGGTTAGACAAATGGAAGAAATTACCTACACCAAGTCCAAACATTTTTCTAAAACCACGCAGACATGGGAACCGTGGGTTACTTTCCTATTGACGGAAGCCAATAGCCTTTGAACTAGATGGGCCATAAGTCAGGAACATAGATATTGGGACCTTTCCTGAACACCATTTACAAAGTGTACTATGAGACCACCTCACCTCAGAGTAGGGGATTGATACTTTGGGTAAGCAAAACCCACACTGATACACACAAAACTCCATTATGACACCTGGTCATCTCACACTGCTATAAGCTATACAAGCTCCAAATCAGGGCCGTCTTTAATATTGACCGGACACTGGGCAACCATTTGCTTGGGGCCCCTGGACTCTGCCCCCTGCCAGACATACTAACACACATACACAGAGACATACACTGACAGACATACTGACACACACACAGAAACATACACTACAGACATACTGACATATGCAGACACATATACTGACACACATACACAAAGACATACAATGACAGACATACTGACACACATACAGACACATACAATAACAGACATACTGACATACACAGACACATACAATAACAGACATACTGACATACACAGACAGACATACTGACACATACACCGACAGACATACTGACACAAGCACAGACACATACACTAACAGACATACTGACATAAACATACACTGACAGACATACTGACAAACATACACTGAAAGACATACTGACACAAACACAGACAGACATACTGACATAAACATACACTGACATACATACTGACACAAACACATACACTGACAGACATACTGACATAAACATACACTGAAAGACATACTGACACAAACACATACACTGACAGACATACTGACACAAACATACACTGAAAGACATACTGACACAAACACAGACAGACATACTGACATAAACATACAATGACAGACATACTGACACAAACACAGACAGACATACTGACATAAACATACACTGACATACATACTGACACAAACACATACACTGACAGACATACTGACACAAACATACACTGAAAGACATACTGACACAAACACAGACAGACATACTGACATAAACATACAATGACAGACATACTGACACAAACACAGACAGACATACTGACATAAACACACACTGACATACATACTGACAAACACATACACTGACAGACATACTGACACAAACATACACTGAAAGACATACTGAAACATACACTGACATACATACTGACAAATACATACACTGACAGACATACTGACACAAACATACACAGACAGACATACTGACATAAATTTACACTTTTAAACCCACCCACAAGTTTCCTACCTTGGAAGGTGGTTCCCCAGGTGTCCAGACTGAAGGCTGTTGGGATCTGCCTCTCCTGGCAAGGGTCCCTCCTTCGTCTCCCGCGCGGCTCCTCTCCTAAGTGGGAGGAAGTGACTCGCAGCCGTCACTTCCTCCCAGCGCTGCCGAAAAGCAACGGGCCCGGTCGCGCTGTTAAAGTGGTACAGTGTGTGACCGGGCCCCTGCTTACAATACCCACCCGGTGGCCTGCTTAATGTGGGGGCCGGCGGCCTCATGGGAGAAACAATTGTTGAGGGCAGCGGGGCCCACGGGGAAGCTGCCTTGGGCCCCCCAAGAGTAACTGGGCCCGGGGCAGCTGCCCCGTTTGCCCCGCGTTAAAGACGGCCCTGCTCCAAATGGTGCAACACCGGATTGACACTCTGATGCTGTACTCCTTAGTTATTAACCAATCTGTTATATTGCTATCAAAATATATTCTGGATACGAGAATGTAAATGCATTTAATCTATAAAGTAAGACATCTTTGAATTGATACCAAACTTACTTGTAGATACTAGAATGTATAAGTATTGAATCTATGCTGTAAATCACAGACCAATGCATTCATTTATTTATTTTAAAGTGACACTAGAAAATTGCTTGAATTGCTCTGTTGTAATATACAACTGTCAATTGCAAATCCGTTCTGCTTTTAAATCAGTGTTGCTATATTTGTGACTGTTTTTGAAAAATGAATAAAAAAGTATTAAATTAACAAAAAAAAAAAGTGTTCTGGTTCCTAAAACTCTAATAGCAACAAAATGGGAACATGAAAAAAAAACATGTATCTTTGTATAGAAGTCCCCAGAGTCTTTCATTAACCAGCGGGCTCTCAACATCCTTCTATGAGTGAGTGGGGCTTATCATGATAATGTATTTAATTAACATCTAATTCATAAACACTTAGGAAAATTTACAAACATTGACTCTGTACAGCTTAGTTCCAACACAGTCAATCTAAAAAACTATTTCCAACTCGGGTATTTTGGCTTCACTTTTATATGTTAGTTGTTGTCAACCCTCTAAATCTCACTATTTGCTTTCTTTATTTTTGGGCAGTCAAGTAGCAGTAGATACTGTTTGGAAGACACTTGTTTCGAATTACAACAGTGCAGAACAATAGTGCAATTTAAGATAAGTTTGGATCCAAAGCATGTTACATACATTTTTAACAGTAAAGAAACTCGAATGTGCTTTGTAAATATGAAATCATGAGTCCCCTTGTTAGAAGAGTTTTTGATGACTGTCTTTTTTTATAACTAAAAAAGTGAAAGCAATTCAACCCTGTTAGTACGTTGTTATTAGTATAGTATAAAATTGAGCAGTTATCTTTCCTTCAGTCTGAAGGATCAAGTGTATACAAGTTATTAACCAACAAAGCCAATAGATTGCTTGAGCCAACCAATCAATCTGAAACAAAATAAATTATAGAATCAAAAAGCAAAGAACCAGTGCAAACTCTGACCCCTACTCCAATAGTTAGAAACTTTTACCAGGAATACCCTAATAGTATGAGAGTGCCCTACCACATGACCGCCACCCACTATCCCTACTATTCCCTCTCTCTAGCTCCCAATTCAAGCCACAGACTATTTTCAAAAGACTGTGGGGTGTTGTAAACTATGGCAGTGAACTTATCCTTAAATATACTTCTTCTTAATATTTGGTAGTATTTCCTTCTTCTAGGGACTGTGTCTCTTACATCTAATCTCCTCCTGACCACCAGTGTTATTGTATTCATAAATTTCTCTGGCCAGCAGACCATCCACCATTCTAGCAAGTAGGAATTGCCATGGATCAAAGTCAAATGGTCTGTCAAACATCTTGACCAAAAGTTCCTTAACTTCTAGCCATAATGGCAGTAGTTTTGTGCAGTCCCACCACATGTGAATGTGAGTACATTTCGCTCTGCAGTCCCTCGAACACTGCTCTGTAGACCCTCTGCCGATTTTATATAACTTGGTGGGGTAGTGCACCAACGGATTATCATTTCTAGACCTGCACAAATGAATTATTTTCCAATGGCCTCCCAGATGTCCTGCCACACCCTGCTCTCCTGCACTGTTTGCTTTTTTAAATATAGGATTTTTATGTCTTTTTACTTCACTTCACACAGGAGGAGTATCTAATATGTTTATCAGTATTATTATGAATCAATTTTTTAATGTGTGGCTCTAAAATAGTAGCTAAATAACTATATTTACATACTGGAGTGCACCTTTTAACATTTCTTACTTTTCTGTGAGGTTTGTTGCTCTCACTTCTACAAAAACTCTTGACTTCAGTTTTATCCCAGTTGCTGGTATAGTAAGTTTTCTTCCATAAAATTCATCCTGCAATAGAAAGCAAAATAGAGTCATTTTTAAATATATTTGTTTGTATTTTGCTTAGAATAAACAACAAAATATGTTTTGTTTTTAACTTGAGAATGGCACCTTGCACGCTTACATATTATTTAAACATAATAATGTAATATAATTGAGGTTTTATGTTGTACAAGGCATTTGCAGTCTCTACAATGGGTATCTATTAAAAACTTGGATCCCAGCTTTTTTGTATAGTGAATCAAGGTGGTCGGTTTTCAATTTTTATTCAGTCTGCTTGCATGAAAGTGTGATCTTCTGTTAATGATAAACCCATGGTCACTATTAAAATATATTTCACCTCCCTTCTTTTTTGTCTTTCACTCTTGATATGGAAGCAAATATAGGAAGTAGTAATACAAGCAGTGTCAGTCACACTGCTCAGAATTATTATTATTATTATTATTATTATCATCATCATCATCATCATTATCATTTTATAATACCCAAGCATTCTGAAGAGCATTACAATGGTACCATGAAATACATGAAGTAATTCACAAATATAATAAAGACAGATCCAAGAGAGAAAGTACAGTCTGTTGAATTTAGTTTACATTCTAAAAGGAAGTGTGGCACAAAAACACAAGAGATAAAAAACCACATCAATGGGGAGGAATAATTAGCAGGTTGGCCCCTGCATCCAGTTAAGCTTGTGAAAAGGTGATGAGTAAGAGAACTAAAGAATGGAATTTGAGACAGTGGAGTGGATGATTGAGACATTGATGATGTGTGAGGGATGGGAAGACTGTTGCAAGAACAGAAGTTTCACAGGAAGATCAGCAGGGATGTATTTCTGAATTGGAAAGAACATTTAAAAATGGGTGGAATTGTTGAATGCTTTGTATGTTAATGACAGTAGTTTGAATTAAATATTGACATGCATTTGACTGGCACTGAAAATAGCCGCAGAAAATGCTGCCTATAAATGTTCTGGCATGCAAAAACAGCTGAAATATTGCCTTGCCTAATAACTATACTATGTTGGGCATTTTTATAATGCCAATTCTGAGTCGCCAAAATTTGATTATTCCATATCTTGATTAAAAAAAGAATGAGGAAGTAAGAGATCTTTTTGTTATAATGATCAATTGGAATCTTTTTCCTTTTTACTATATTGTATTAATAAAAAAATATGAGGAGCCTTTTAAATTGAAAAACAGGAATTCTACAAAAAAATTGAAGGCAATTAACCCCTTAAGGACACAGCTTCAGAAGCTTGTCTTACGCTTAATGACACAAGCAATTTTTACATTTTCTTGCTGTATGCGTTCAACTGCAATTTGCATCTCTCTCGTTTATTGCACCGACGCATATTATATATTGTTTTTTAAAGGACAGAAAGGGCTTTAATTTGATGTAACATATATATATATATATATATACATATATATAAATGCTTATTTATTATTAAAAAATACAGAAAAATGCAAAAAAAATGAAAAATTTTGTGTTTTTTGTACAGTTTTTGCAATAGTAATGTGTGCCTAATTAGTGAAGGTTAAAGAAAGTAATTAAAAATAAATTAATTTAGTTCTTCTGATTTACAGAATATATTATGTGTCTGGGATTTTAAGTTTTGGTAGTTACAGGTCACAAAGCACAAGTAGTAAAATAAACTTTTAATGTGGAGCGATTTTAGAATTTGGTATGTTTGTCGTGTAAGTTTAATAGCCTTAAAAGAAAACAAAATTGCCACACAAAAGTATTTATTTATATAAAGTAGACATCACAGGCTATTGTCCTATGGTTGTTTTCACACTTTCTACATAGCCATTTCACTGCCAATCTCTGCTAAATATTGGAGTAGAATTTAGTTTTTTGGGGTTTTTGGCACACAAACTTATAACAAAGAACTTCTCATGTGTATTTTGTAAAGTTGGTGTGTGCTATTCCTGTACAAAGTTTTATTTTGTGTTCAGTTACTTCTGCTGAGTACAAATATTACCCCATTGTATGTCTTTGGCACTATTTCGTGAAGGTACAGTGCCATATAAGAGACCTGTCCGTTTTAACATTTACAGTAGAATTTTGAGAGGCGGATTTAATGGGCCTATGCTTCAATTTGGGGTATTATAGCAGTTTGACTGTTCAAAAAAAAAAACACAAAGGCCTACCATTTGTAAAAGTAGACACTCCAGGGTATCTCACATGGTGCATATTGTGCCTTAACATGCCCCCATTTTTTCACCAATATATGCCAAAGTATGTGGTAAAAAATAATTTGGGGCATTTTTTACATACGGATTACATTTTTGCTGGGCATTTTGTACATTTCATATGTGCCACTAAGTTCAAACCCCCAAATTATGCTCAGCTAAGTCTTCTGAGTAAAACAATATGCCCAATGTATGACCTAGACACTATTTTGTGAAGTTACAGTGCTGTAAAAGAGACGTGACAAGTTAAGGTTTCTAAGTGTGAATTTTCATGGAGGGTTTTGATGCGTCCGTGTCCCACTTTGGAGCACTTGAGCAAGCTACATATTATAACTACACCATAAAGGCATACCATTTCTTAAAGAACACATCCCAGGGTATTTCAAAAGGCATATTTTGAACCTTAGCGTGGGATAATTTTTCCGCTAGCTTGTACCAAGTGTAGTGGTAATAAGCATTTTTTCTGCCTTTTTGACACACAAAGTGAGTTTGCGCAGTATCGTATGTGTGCTATGACTGTATAATACTTCATATGTTGCTCTGCTATGTCGGCTGAGTACAGCAAAACCCCGTATGTACCTTTGCCAGGTATATGTGGACATCGAAGCGTCACATTTGAGACACAGCCATTCCAGTTTTTCTCAAATTTTGAAATTTTACGCTGTGTCCATGTCCCATTTTAGAATATTTTACAAGGCTATATAATCAAATTACACCATAAAGGCATACCATTTCTTAAAGAAGACATACCAGGGTAATTCAAAAGGCATATTTTGAACCTTAGCGTGGGATCATTTTTCAGCTAGCTTGTACAAAGTGTAGTGGTAATAAGCATTTTTTTACTTTGTAAAACTTTTTTACTTTGTAAAACCCGTTTTTAAACTTTTTTTTTTTTACTTATTAAATGTTTTACACTTTCTTAACTTTTTTTATACTTTTAAATTTTTTTCTAAACTTTTCTTTTACCGTTAGCAGCACTAACAGTAAATTCCCCCCTTTCCCATAACTCCCACCCACTCTAGCTAGCAAAATATATATAATTATAAAATATTTAAATTAATTAATTAAATAAATTGAACCCCTGAGGGTTAAAAAATAAATAAAAGTTAATCCTCAGGGGTTAAAAGAAATTAGATTACAGTATAATACTGTGATCTGTATTTTGATCACTGTACGCAGTGATCAACTGGCAGAGAAGGGGTTAATTTTTATTTAGACTGGGTAAAGGGGGGTGGTATTTTTTTTTACTTAAATGTTACTAAAACATTTCTTAAAAACCTTTTTAACGTTAACCCCTAGTTAGCCTAACACCAAATTCCCCAATTCCCCACTAACTTCCCCCCATCCCAGCCAGCTAAATATATAATTTTTAAATATTTAAATTAATTAATAAAATAAATTTAACCCCTGAGGGTTAAAAACAAATTAACCCCCAGGGGTTAAAAAATAAATCATATGACATTAAAATGTATACCCTACCAATTGATCACTGCACTCAGTGATCAATTGGCAGGGAAGGGGTTAATTTTATTAAAGCAGAGGAAAGGGGGGTGGGATTTAACTTTATTCAGCTCTGATCCATCTCTCTGCACTTCACACAGAACCCGGAAGTGCAAGGAGGCGGAAGGTAAGTATATACAGCACATGTGCTCGATCTGACAGCCTGTCAAAGCGAGCACCGGTGCAGCGCGATCCAGTGCTCCCGGTCTGCCTCTAATACGATCTGGTCTTAACTTTAGTAAATGACAGAAATTTTCCGTCAACGGTCCTTAGCTGAAGGACAAGGTTGACGGAAAATTTCCATCTGTGGTCGGGAAGGGGTTAATTACCCACTCACTCCTTACACCATAAGAAGAATAAAAAATTCCCACACATCCAGTCTGTTTTGAAAACAGTTATAACGACTCAGCCCATATTTATTTATACATGTTATAGCAACTACAGCCAGAGTCAGTGCAAATATTTTGCACCCTAAGCAAGATAAACTACTTGCGCCCACCCAAGAAAACACACAAACAACACATTGTGCTGGCCCTGACTACAGCACAGATAGTACAGCAAAGTTTATTACTATTTCCAAAAATCTTAAAAAATATTTTACTGACAAAGAAAGTTTCTACCCTTGAAATTAAGTGGCACTTGTCTTTCCATTTAAGAAAAAAATATTTAGAAATTATATTTTAGTGGAAAGATAATCAAATGTACTAATATTTCTAAAATACAATTTTTTCATGGAAAAGCTAAAATAATTTAATTACTTACGAGATACAATTGGAGAGAGAGTGTGCTGATGAAAGTGCCGTTATTTGTATTGATTGCTATGTTATTTGCAGCCCTGTAATTGGAAACATATATGATTAGTGATAGGCTAAAAATGTCCTTTACAACTATACATTTTGCATTTGGCTTAATTATTGTTATGATAATATTAATTATTAGATATTGTTTTCTGTTCCCTACACTTATACAATTAAAACAATACATTATCTTCATGGTAACGGATTTGGTTTTAACAAAGATTTGCTGTATAAAGTGCCCATCAACTCAGATACCTTGCTTTGTTGCAGTAGAGTCACAAGAAGCAGAGCATCTGGATCTATGCATAAGTTCATGTGAGTGTATGTAAATATAAAAGGGTGCATACATACACATGGACTGCACTATCATCAAACAATACAATTATTAGAATTATTGTAGTAATATATTCTTAAAGTTTCTGATTTCTGTGGAAACAAAGAGAAATCACTATACTACATTAAAGGAAAACTATAGTCACAAAAACAACTTTAGTTTAATGAAGCAGTTTTGGTGTACAGATCATGCCTCTGAAGTTTCACTGCTCAATTCTTTAACATTTAGGAGTTAGATCACTTTTGTTTCTGTTTATGCAGCCCTAGCCTCAGCTCTCCTGGTTGTGACTCATACTGCCTACATGAAAAAAAAATGGTTAATTTTTAATTAGATGTATCTCCTGCTCTGTAAATTGAACTTTAATTACATACAGGAGGCTCCTGTAGGGTATAGCAATCTAATAACAGGGCAGGAGATTAGAAATTCACTATTAAAGAGAATTTGCAATAAAGGAAGTGTTAACATTAGATCTCTCTACAAGAAGTGTTTGGGAAGGCTATGTAAGTTTCATGCAGGGAGGAGAGACTTGGATGGCATAAACAAAGTGATTTAACTCTTACATTGCAGAGAATTGTGCAATGCAACTGCCGAGGCATGATCTATACAACAACACTGCGTTTTTTTTATCATAAAGGTGTTTTGGTTACTATAGTCTCCCTTTAAATATTAACCCTTTAAGGACACATGACGGAAATATTCCGTCATGATTCCCTTTTATTCCAGAAGTTGTGTCCTTAATGGGTTAATCCCAACATTATACAATCAATTAACACTTGCCCTAACACTAACCATTAAAACTTACACTATTTAAGCAATTACACTAAAAATAACCCCAAGAATACCCCTAAGAATGAGTTGGGGAAAAATAATCCAATTTCTGGGTTCTGGAAACATTCATAAACCACTCAACCTTTGCTTTTTGGCTTGTTATGATGTCTCCTGAATCCCTTGATGATACTAGTGCCTACACTGCAAGGTTCTTTAAAATATATCTCTGTCTCATTCATCCTTCCCCTTATATCCTGTTTGGAATTAAACATGTAAAAGGCTTAGTTGAATTTAAAAGACAGCTTGCAAAATGCCTACAAGATATCTGTAGCAAAGCTTTCTGAAAACAATAAAAGGCAGTTTGACATGGTAAGATGCAATCATCAACAGATGGGAAGACGGACAGATAAACAGATATACAGGTATATCTAGGAGCATTTTCATACTATTGGGTAAATGCCATATGTAGTAGCGTGTAGAGTACTTACACGTCAAGCCGAGTGTTGTTCATGAGATACTCTAAAGGGTAAACGCAGGAATATAAATACTTGAGTTCTGAGTTGTATGTGATGACACCCGACGTTGGTTCTTTTGACTTGATTATGCCACTGATATTGACATACTGAATATGTAAAAAGTCTGAAAAAATCCCTTCTCCCATAGTGTCATTAATCTAAAAAAAATAATTTTAAACATACAAAATGAAAATTACTGTACATTTTTAATTTCACATTGGGGTAAAACCCCATGAATTAATTAAGCATTCATGAAAGCCACAAATAATTAGACACTGCTTTCACCACACCTAATATTCTCCAGCAGAAGAAGATGGTTAGCTTAATAGAGAAAAGCTTGAAGATACAAGACGACGCTCACTGGCTGAAAATTTCAACCAGTGAGTGCAATCCTACTGTGACATCCAGCTTCCTCTGCTTAGAACACTGATTGCGGCTAATGCAGTATTCACTCCCAGACAGACCCAAGTAAGTTCTCAAACTAAGGTAAATTTAAAAAAGTGTTTGAGCTTCAGAGTGAGGAAGAACTTTGAGCTAACCTAGGAAGAAAAGGACTATAAATATTATGATCATTATTATATTTTAAGATTATTTTAAATTAAGGAATGTTATTCCTTCTGAAAAATTTCTCTTACCATAAATAAACTTCCACAAGTTGAATTTGCATTGATTGAAAAAGTATACTTCACGAATGGGACACCCCTTGATGTGTCAAGTACTCCTTGGCATCCAGGTATATCAATAAAATCATTCATGTAAAGTTGAGTTTCATTATAACCAGCATAGTATACTGGACACAAATAAATTGATAGTTCAATGTTCTGTGGTCCACATGTCACTAGTATGTCTGTATATTCTGAAATTAGAAAAAAAAATTATATAAAACATAAAACAAATAGCTTGTATATATTATAAATGTAATCAACCAAGTGTTACTGATCAAAAATAGTTTAAAAGAATACATATATACTTAAATAAAATTCATTCACCCTTAGGGTGTGCCCATATGAGTGGGGGACTTAGGAGTTGGCCCACTGGCCACCTTAGGGCACCCCTGAAGTGGGCACTAATTCACTAAGGCAGAGTAGGCACCTGCTTATCTGGACGCAGGTGCCTATACTGCCAAAATATGCCAAGGGGAAGAGGAGGCAGACGGCGAGGGAACGCTGATGTTCCTCAAGTTTCTCGCTGTTCCCTCTCTCCATGCTTTGATGCAGGGAGCAGGAATAGGACATCACTCTGGACCCGGAATCACTAAGTTGCACGTGAGGGAGTAATGATTAACTGGAAAATTATAGGAGCCACTGGACCCCAGGGAGAAGATCCTCAGATGATCTCAGGGAAAGATCTCCCCTTGACCCTGGGGAGAAGATGCCCACTAGACCCAAGGAAGAGAACCTACTCAAGCTCTCCCAATAGAAGGAAGGCAGTAGAAGGAAGGCAGGATTGTCATAACAAAATAATATAAAACCACAATAATTGAAATTAATTTGTGAGTGTGCTTGCAAGAATGTGTAAATGTGTGAGTGTTTCAGCCCCAATGAGCATGTTTTAAATAAGCGAGAGTGTGTGTCTGCCATTGAGAGTATGTGTTAGTGTGTCTGTCAGTGAGTGTGCGTATGTCAGCGAGTGTATCTGTCAGTTAGTGTATTTCTGTCATGGCTGCCGGCATTGGTGCTCACTAGTGAATGGTTATCGGCGAGCTCCGGTCAGCTGACACATCCCGGCCAATCTCCAGCAGACCCTCCCTCCCAGACCCACCCACCTCCTGGACAGCATCCATGTTGAAGGCAAACCGTGGCGAGCCGTTCGCGGGAAGTTCGCGAACGGTTCGCGACATCTCTAGTGCTCACGTGACCAAACCCGATTGGTAGGTCATGCTATTAATAGTTCTGGATGGCATTTCAATTGACCTCGTTAGGTTGTTGTCCCTGCAGGGCATTTCATTCAGAGAGCCCAGCTAAAGAGCTGCTTCATGGGAACAATGCCCTGTGCTTGCACAGAACAGCTCTGTGTTTGTTGGTTACTTGATTCTGTTGCCCCTATGAGTGGCATACCAGAGGGCAAAAGTGGGACATGGCCAGTAAAGAGTGTTGTACTGTGGGGATGTTGCCTGTGGTACTGTGTGTAGTTGGAGGCTGCTTGTGGGATTGCGTATGAATAATGAGACCGTTTATGATGTCATTTGTGGAAAGGAGTCTGTTTGTAGTATACTATGTGTGGCTATGGACTGTAGTGTGCATGTGTCTCCACTGGCTCTGAAGTGTGTCTGTTTATGGGCTGTAGAGATTGTGTGTTTGTGTCTGTCTCCTCATGTCTGTTTGGAAAAATAGTGCCTCAGAGGGGATATGATAACATCATTTGCAGGGCCAGTACAAACCATTATCTGGAAATCTATTCATAAACAGGGCTATACATAGGACACGAGGTCACACAATTAGGCTGGAAGAGAGGAGATTTAATCTAAGGCAAAGGAAATGTTTTTTTTACAGTAAGAACTAGAAGGATATTGAATTATTTGCCTGAAGAGGTGGTTTTATCAGACTCCATACAGATGTTTAAACAACAATTGGATAAATACTTCCAAAAACATAACATACAGGGATTTAATTTCTAAATAGTGGGGTAATAGCTGCTTCATCCAAGGGGATATCTGACTGCCATTTTGGGGTCAAGAAGGAATTTTTTCCTAATTTGTTACAAACCAAAATTGAAAGCACTGTATATGACCTATTCACCATGTCATTAACTTTGAAAACAAACACTTTTTAAATCTAACCTGGTGTTCTAAAGGTCCCATTGCAGGCTCCTATGTCCAAGCAGTGATATCCATTAATGATATATAATGCCACAATATAAAGAAAACATTTTTTCTCTCCACTGTTTGATAGGAAAACCTGAAAAAACAGCAGATAATAGCAGTTTAAAATTTTCATTATCGCACATATAATAAAATTAGTTCAAAATGACATTCATACATACAGATCATTTTTTGAAACATAAATTGCTTAAAAGGCACACCAAAAATCAATTTTTGTTTGAAAAAATATTTGCAGAGCATTTATTTGAAAAATGGAGTAGCATATAACCAACTAATATTTTTTTTTCTCATATCCAGTAGATGGACAAAATTGTATAAATAAAAATGGTAACATAACCATATCATACCCTATAAGTCATTGTGCCACAGTAGTGTTTGTGTGCATGTGTGTATGTATGTATGTGTATGTATATATATATATATATATATATATATATATATATATGTATTTAAGGCTGGGCCTGTAGTTGTGGGAGGGGCTTGGGTCCCCTTTAAAAAGGCCTCCAATCCTCTCCCACATTCCCACATTACCGTTGTTAATTTGGCAAGTTGCCAGCATTGCTGGGGGCCACTTCCAGGTCAAGTCTGAGGGAGGCGCTTCACTGAGGTCCAACTGTCTCGAAATTCTGGTGTCCCCAGTGCAGAGCGTTTACTACTACCTAAGTGCCTGTCTGTCCGCCTGGTCCCTTGTCCACAGGGTGTCAGAATTACTAGTTGATCCAGCATGTAGAATTGTGTCACACAGATGACTAATAGGTAACGGAATACCAGGCCTTAGAATGGCCGGACTTAACGTACCAAAGAATAGTCAGGATACTTGCCGAGGTCAGGGGATACAGAAAGAGACACAACGATAAGAGAAAGCCAGAAGTCAAGGAAGTCAAAATCAAAGCCAAAGTCAAAAACCAGAAGAAACTTGAATCAGGAACGTGCTCTCGGACAACCACAAGGGAAACCACGACAGGGCACTGAGCAGGATGAGAACTGGGCCTAAATACCCCTCCTCTCGATCTGATAGGCTGACCCCAAAGGCAGTTACCAGGTTTCCATTTGCATAATTGCTGCTCAGCATTAACCCTTCTGTGGATTTGGTTGCTGCTCGGCACAACTTTTTCTGTGTGGACAGTAAATGCCATTAACCACATTTTTATAAGCGGATGAATACGTGACACAGGGTTCATGTCACACCAACCTAATTTTTGAGTCCATACAGATGGGTGCTACTTGGCACACCATCTGTACCATTCCACACACTGTGCACTATATGACTTGTCTGGGACTTGGGAACCCACAGACTAACCAGGGTCCCCCGGCACCGTGATGTTGTAGGTCGAGACCCCCCATGGAAAACACGCTGGGTTCGCCACATGGACAATTTATTTCTTTGTTTAAACTTGCTGCTTTCAGGTTTTCATTAGCAACATTCCATTTAAGCCAGGGTGTCTGGGTTTTCGGTTATATTCACCACATTTCGGCTGTTTTTTCCTACCCCTTTTTCGTATAACAATTTACTATCATTTAGTACAATATCGCCACTTTTCAATGTTAATCTGTGTAATTTTACTAGGTTTTAGTGTACGGACGATATTACAGGGAAATTAATTTTGCTTCTTGTAATATTGTAGATAAAGAAGGAAGTTTTAATTTAGTATTATACTTAAACCTGCTATTTTGGTTCACATCTATAGGTATTGTTGATGTTCTACCCGCTGCTGTCAGAACTGTTAGTCAAGTGATTTGTACCGATTTTACAAACACATCTTATCATTTCTAGATTGATGAACTTGGCTTTTATTGTTTAGGCTATAACTTCCTATCTCCTCATTTTTAAAGGTAATATCTCAATTTCTTTAGGTGTCAATGTCGGGTATATATATGCCTATTGCAGGCACAAGGTGTTCATCAATTCGTGGCAGCATTTGCCAAATTGGCACCTTGTGTCTGGCAATTGGGGTAGGTTACTCTATATTAGTTGGGTCCATGATCTACATGACCTACATGTTTTATACCATCCTCAGATACTTTAGGTTGCCGTATGTTACTGCCCTAACCCTCCTTGCTCGACTCCTACAACTATTCATCATTTCCGATTCTCATTAACAACGTTTACATTTACTAAGTTCATATTTACTTTTAGCGGAGAGTACTGGCTTTTAGGGATCAAGGTGTCCAACTAGGTTAATGTTTTCCGACCTCCATAGGCTAGTGGTCCCGTGAGGCCAACATACTTGAAGGTATACGCCCAACGGTCTAACACATAGATATTCACCTTGTATGGTGGCATAGAGAGGGCCTCACCTGTCACTCCCATACAATCTTATGCTTTATTTGTCACCGAGAGGCCGACAACCTGCCACAATGATTTGTAGCCACAAATCCCCTCGGGCAAATGCATAGTTAGAGTCTCACAAGCCACTTGGCAACTAGCAGGGTCTCACCTGTCACCCCTTTTTTAGTGGTAATTTATCTACTTGGCAATAGCTAGACTGACACTACTAGTTGGGTTTACACTAATGGTAATTTCATATTTCAAGTATGTCTCAGGTTCCCAAATGTAGGAATGTGTATTGCTATGTGTTTACTGGTTATTAGAAATCCAGGTGTCCAATAGTGTATACCTCCTCATACTTGGAGGTATATGCCCATTGGTCCAAATATAGTTATCTGCCTTGCACGGTTGCATAGAGAGGGCCTCACCTGTCTCCCATACTATCTTCTGCTTTAATTGTCACTGAGAGGCTGAAACCCTGCCACATCGTTTGTGGCCACAAATTGCCTCGGGCCAAAGCATATTTAGAGCCTCTCAAGCCACTTAGCAATTAGCGTGGCCTCACCTGTCACCCCTTTAGTTTAATTTTTCGCCGCTTGGCAATAGATAGTCTGCAGTACCAGTTGCTCTTACATATAATGGTAATTTTATATCTCAGTATGTCTCAGGTTTCTGAATCTAGGGATCGTTAGTGCTCTGTCTTTCCCGAGTACGTGAGGAACTGGATGTGTATATGCACAGGTTGGGAATCTGGGGTACAAGTATGGTGGTACAGCCTTCTATGACTGCCACCATTCCTTTTCTGCAAGGTGGCTGAAGCTCTGACTCAGTTTTACTACAATATAAATTGGAGTAGACTGGATGCTGAGTTTTTTCTGTAGGCATGTTGCAGGCCTCCGGCTTGTGCAGTTGGTGCATTCACAGCACACTCTACCAACCTATGCCCCAATACGGCAGAAGGTGAGAAGGGTCACTCGGTCCCTAACACGGCAAGATCGACCAAAGGTTTGAAGGATAATGTGGGTAGGGACAGTGTTTTCTTGGGCAAGTGCCAGATATGTTCTAATTTTAATGCGGGAACTTGTGGGTTTAGTTCCTGTAGATTGTTACACGTGTGTGCTTACTGTTTTCCGGGCTCACGCAAAACACCATGTGACGTAAGACAATGTTTCCTAAACCATACATCACTTGCATCAATGTCACACTAATTTGCAAACGGCGATAGCAGATCCAGAGTCAGTGCATGAACTCATCAGAATTTAATTCTAATCCTATTGGTAAATCGGGTAAATCTTCACATAAACACAGACTGATTATTGACTTGTCAGCCCACATTCCTCCACGCTCCCCCGTCGTAATTCCATCATACCCACTGATGAATTTCTCTCTGCTATATGCCACCATTGCCAATGCAATCAGGGCCATGTTTTGCTGCTGGGACAGGAGCATAGCTCAGTAAAACGGATAATGTCAATGCTTTTAACTTACTTCCCATTCACCCTTTACTGCGGCGTCTGCACGGCTTTAAATGGGGAGGTTTATATTATTTCTTCGTCTGTCTGTAATTCACTATTTAGAGGACTTCTTCACGATTCTAGACACTCACTATCTCCTAGCAGCCTCGAACAATCTATGACTCTTTTGAATCCTTCGGTATACCGGTCTCCCCTAAAAAGACAGAAGCTCCTGACATGGTTGTACATTTTCTGGGGATTCAACTGGACTCAGTTAACATGCAGGCCAGTCTTTCCCAGGATAAAAGTGAGCGCACCCTATCAAGTATTGAGCTTCACTTACAGCTAGGTTCTTGTAACTGAAAGAACTTCAGTCTCTGCTTGCCATTTGTTGCCATGAGGATCATTCCCCAGGGTAGATCCTTAATTTTCTTTTTCCCGGTCCTCCCCTCAGACGAATCACGCATACGTTTTGACACACATGCAACAGCTGACTTACTTATGTGGTGCACTTTTCTCACATCATGGAACGGGCAAGCCATGTTCATCCCCCCAATTTCCGACTATTCTCCTACACTCTGGAAAAATGCTGCAGCCAATACTGGCTTCACAGCCATCTGTGGCAAAAAATGGCTCTGGTGTACATGGCCTAGAGAAGTTAAGTCACTACCTAGCTTCTTCTAACATCCGCCTTGTTTTAATGGTACCCAAATGTTTTTATTAACTTAAGCACAAAATCTTTCCCTCCTTGCACTTTCAGTTAACTCTAGGAATCCTATGATAAGGCTTTACACTTTTCACCAAATTTATGGCGGAATTTCGAGTTCAGTACAGGTTGCTTTGGAGACTACATTGGGGTTCACTTCTTTTTGCTACCTTAAACTTAAATTATCTTTCAACACAATCAAAGTTTATTTAACAGGCATTCAACACCACATGCTATTACACACCTCAATAAACAGGATTCCATTCATCATACCAGATAAAAACCATGCTGCAGGGAATCTAAAAATCAGACACACATTTACTCCCTAAAGACTACCCATCCACAATAAGATATTCCAATCATTATCCGACTTGTTAGGTACAGCTCCACTCGAACATATAATAAAATGGTAATTAAAACAGCCATACTTCAAGTTTTTCATGGATTCTTATGTCCAAAGGAATTCACCACCACTAATGTACCGGCTACAAACAGGCCACAAATTCATAGACCAATACCTTCTTTCACTTCACTACTCTAAACTAGTCAGATGGGATGCACGGTTGACATACCTTTTCCCTACCTATAATAAATGGTGCCCTGTTAAGGTTTTGAATACATATGTCAACACCTTTCACAAACAAATAAAAACGTATCTTAAATATAAAAGCGCTAATAAAAACAGATAGAATAAAATAAGTGTGAGGGGAAAAAAATAAAAAATGTGTAAAAAGATTCTTCACCACCTCAAAATATCAAAATCCCTAATATTCAGGGTTAAGACATGGACAAGCTGCTACACACCTGTGTGTACCCAATTCCCACACATATAACAAACAATATAATTATACAGGTGGAGCGCAAAATCAATTCCAAAGTCTCAGAGAGATCTTGAGATTGCTTCAACTCAGATATATATATAAAAAAGGAATAGAGAACATATAATAGTGAAGCACAGTAACAATGAAATACATATATTTATTAAACACACTTGACATAAAACACTCCTAGCCACATAAAAGGGTCAGAGTAATATACATAGCAAATAGAAATAGAAAAATGAGCCTCTTACAAAATAAAAGAAAGTAAGTATAAGCAGTCCCAGCTGCTACTCACAGACGCTTTGTGTTGCCTTTGCCCAGGCTCTATCAGCATAGCAACCGGCTTCCACTCATCCTCCACGGATAGAACATTGCAAAGTGATCTCCGGCCGCCTGGTAGTTCAGAGCGTTGGCTTGGAGTCTTCCGGATCTTCCAGGTGCTCCGCCCCCTTTGCGTCAACACGTAACCAGCGTGGTTACGTCACTGCGTTGTCTACGCGTTTCGCCGTAAAGCTTCCTCAGTGTGTTTAATAAATATGTATTTAATTGTTACTGTGCTTCACTATTATATATTCTCTATTCCTTTATATATATATATATATATATATATATATATCTGAGTTGAAGCAATCTCAAGATCTCTCTGAGACTTTGGAATTGATTTTGCGCTCTAACTGTATAAGTATACCTTTCACAAACAACCACATCAACCACTATTAGAACTACACAGTTCTATTCTCATTACGGCTAAATTTATGCTCTTTGTCCGTATGCTATTGACTAGACTTGGCCTAAAGGCAAATCATTACTCAGGACTCTTTTAGCATCTGGGCAGCATCATTCACTTCCTCCAATCACATGCCAACTCATAATCAAAGCTATGGGCTGCTGGGAATCATCTGCTTACACTCTATACATACCAAACCCAGTTAAAGAGTTATGACAAGCATTTTGTGATTTGTCCAAATAATTGATGTTTGTAGTATGAATACATTTTGTATGGTACTCTTCTTTTTGCACTCTTTATTACAGGCCTACTGCATCGTCGGTTCCGGCACACCACAACTGACTGGTATCATTAACTATGTTTATTGTATATCAATTATGTTATCTTACCATTACAGCAATATTGCCCTGACCACAAATTTAAGGCTGGGCCTGTAGTTGTGGGAGGGGCTTGGGTCCTCTTTAAAAGGTCCTCCAATCCTCACCCACTTTACTGTTGTTTGTTTGGCGAGTTGCCCCTCCCACCACTCCCTTTATTCACATCACCCTCTAAGGTTGGCCTTCTTTATCACAGGCCTACTGCATCATCGGTTCCGGCACACCACAACCGACTTGTGTCATTAACTATGTTTATTGTATACGAATTATGTTATCTTACAATTACGGCAATCTTGCCCTGACAACAAATATATATATATATATATATATATATATTGTGATAAAGTGAAGGCAGATAGGCCTTTTAACCCCAGGGGGAGTATGTGTAGGATGTGTTGTAGGCAACACAAAACACTGTTTAGTTATGGGCCCCTGGGGTGGAGCATTTGGAGAGAAGGGTGGGCCAATGCTCCACTCCACAGTTTAGTGGTTTTCTGGGGAGACATAGATCCAGGCCAGGGTTTTTTGGACTGTCTCCAACCCACTGCACAGCTGCAGTTAATGAGCTGTTGCAGTGGGAATAAACTCCTCCCTGCTAGGCAGGTAATGGAGAGGGATTGCTGGCTTCCTCCCAGGAAGCAGGTAGGAGAGAGAGGCTGTTCTCTCCAGATAGAGTCAAGGAGACTAAGCACTGGGAGTGCAGAAAGGAAGCAGTCAGGGCAAGGCTGGCTTGGAGCACTGGGAGTGCAGAAAGGAAAGCAGTCAGGGCAAGGCTGGCTTGGAGCACTGGGAGTGCAGAAAGGAAAGCAGTCAGGGCAAGGCTGGCTTGGAGCACTGGGAGTGCAGAAAGGAAAGCAGTCAGGGCAAGGCTGGCTTGGAGCACTGGGAGTGCAGAAAGGAAAGCAGTCAGGGCAAGGCTGGCTGGCTTGGAGCACTAGGAGTGCGGAAAGGAACGCAACAGGCTAGCCAGCAGAGTGTTGCTAACTAATAAGGTTGGTGCCATATGTTTTGTTAGTTTAACCCTGATAGAGAGGGATGTTCAAAGTGAGTTAGTGCTCAGACCGAGCTAGGTTTTTGTTTATAGGGTTTTGTGTTACATTTATGTTTTAATTTACTGCTGTATCCTGTGTGGATTTGCAAATAAAGTGACTGGATTATATGCAAAGCAAAGGACTGTGCCTATTGTTTACCCTAGAGGACCGTGCTACCTGCAAACAAGGATTACAATATATATATATATATATATATATATATATATATATAACATTTTTAAAAAGTATATCCTGAAGAAAGTTTGTGTAAGAACTGAAACGTTGATATTTTTGTGTTCGTCAAAGTATCTGCTGAATAAAAGTTACGTTTTATTTTTACCATATTCTCAAGTCCCTTGAGTGCTATCTTTTTCATGCATTTTGGATAATTTTGCAGACCAGCACCGGGCCTGACATACTTAAATACCCTGGAGAGCAAGTTTATGGAATATATATATATATATATATATATATATATATAGAGAGAGAGAGAGAGAGAGAGAGAGAGAGAGAGAGAGAGAGAGAGAGAGAGAGAGAGATGTATAATCTATGTTTATGAATTAGAATTACTCAATCTGGGGTAGCAAGATCTAGCAATATTTTAAATGTTATAAATGGATATTTAATAGTATCACTAAAGGATATATATATATATATATATTTTATTATTTTTCTTTTTTTAATTATAAATATTAGTTCTTTCAGGGTAAAAAATTACATTATACAATAAGCATACTCACAGGCACACAGACATGCAATCTCATTGACACACACAAGATCATTGACAAACACAGGCAAGGTTACAGGTACACACAAACTTAGTACAGACAAACTCTCTGACACACACACACAAACGTACTACAGATAAACTCACTGGTATACACACAGATGCTTACTACAGACGAGCTAACTGACACACACATGCTGATTACAGACAAGCTCACTACAGACATGCTTACTGGCCCACATTTGCTCACTACAGACTAGCTCACTGACATACATATCCAAGCTCACTGCAGACAAGCTCACTGACACACACACACCAAAGCTCACTGCAGACAAGCTCACTGAAGCACATACACATGGTCATTAGAAGTTCACTGACATAAACATGCTCACTACAGACAATCTCACTGACATGCATATCCAAGCTCACTGCAGACAAGCTCACTGGCACACACACACCAAAGCTCACTGCAGACAAGCTCACTGAAGCACACACACATGCTCATTACAAGTTCACTGATATAAACATGCTCACTACAGACAATCTCACTGACATGCATACGCATGTTCAATACAGACAAGCTCACTGACACACACATACAAGCTCACTACAGATGAGCTCACTAACATACATACACATGCTTACTACAGAAAAGCTCACTGATACACACACACATACAAACTCAGCACAGACAAGCTCACTGACACACACATGCTCATTACAAGTTCACTGACATAAACATGCTTACTTAAGACCAGCTCATTAACACACACCCAAGCTCACTACAGACAAGCTCACTAACACACACATGCTCACAACAGTAGGCAGACACACATACACACTCACAAGCATATTCACATGCAGGCACAGAAAATACAAATTGAGGTAAAGGAAGCTTACCTGAAATTTAAAATTTTCATTTTATATAAATTTCATTTTATAAAAAAGTAAAAATGTCGTATACACAATTTTGGCAGTAAAGGAGTTCAATGTTATTGTTAGGATTGTAGTGCCAATCAATTTGCAAAATATAGTGCAAAATAGCTGAGCTAGAAAAACATCCACTAAAATTTTAGTTTGTTTACAAAATAACTGTTTTGGATAAAATTGTATGTTGGTTGCTAACTCATTACAACCCACTTTTCACTGGACAGACCTCTAAACTATGGTACAAATGGTATTCCTAGAATAGTAGTATATACAATAACAGTGAATTTGCTTGTTTACACAGTGTACCCATACATAATTGATACAGTTTAGGTTTTTAAAGGACAGATCTGGCTTTCTTCTCATCTCCTATATGTATACTTAGTACAGTACAAGTTAGAAACAAAATATGAAAAAAGGGAAACATTTTTAAAAAACATGTATTTTCAGCATTTTTCCCATAATAACTACACAATTATTGCAACAATAGAAAAATAACTCAAAATAGATTCACTTAATAGTTCCTACTATGAAAAATGCATTTAGGATTTCAATTCATTTTTTAAGCTATTGGACAAATATGGCAAGCAGTGAATTGTGGTATTAGAACTAATGGTGGTTAGTCAGTAAACACATGCTTTTTGCCATCTCTACTCCTAGTACACTAATATTTTGGCTATAGTATTATACAAAATGTCTGCTCATTGTACTGGATTATTAGTATTAGAATGGGATTTCTACCTAGTCTATCATGCAAGTAAGGTTAGTAATGTTTACGTGTCATCTATTCACCATACACTTGTAGTAAGATCAAAAAGTGAGATAAAAAAAAAATACCAACGGCATTATTAATGATCGATATCTGGAATGTATAATGTAATATTATGTACTAAGACAATATTTATTTAGGTAATAATTTCATTCTATTTTTACATGGAATTTGAAAACTTGCAGACCCTTATTTTTGAAAAATTAAATTTAGAAAAAGACACATATTTGTACTAAAATATCAATCAAAGATTGATTTGTATCCCATGCATATGCTTCCACAAATAAACATGTAAAATAAATTATTAATCTACAAAAAATACAATTGATTGAGTCTTGTATAAATTACAACTCCTGCAATGTTTACATAAACAAACTGAGAAACCACATACATTTAAAAAGGATTTAAGTATCTAGAATACACAAAAAAATGCATTAATTGCCATAGCTAACCATGCCACATATACACTAAACACAAACTCAAATTCAGATTTAGGATAGAATCATTTGTACAAATCACATATTTTTGCCTAAATGTTTCAACTTGGATTTTAATTGACTCCATTCTGGTATTTTGAGAGTAAACTCCCTTCTCCCCTTATTTTAACAATCATAATAAAGTCATCAGTGAGTTTTTTTTCTGGTTTTTTAGGATTGTATGTATACTTGCAATCTAAAAAAAATCAGCAATATAAATATATTAAGTAAAGTGTATGTCAAGATACAACTGAGAATGGGTAAAAGTTATTGTAGTTTCCCCTCATCAGTTATATATCAGCATAGTTCAGGTATTTTTTGTGATTAATAAATATGTCAACTTACCATATTTGTCCAAAAACAGAGCTACCTTGTCTACTTCATCAAAAGTAAAACTCAAATGAGGCATACTTCTTTATATATAAATATTGACTGCTATATCTATCGTCATCAGGTATCTTTTGGGGGCAATTGTATGTATTGTACAAGCGATATCTATTATGTAGATGTAAACAATGTTTATCTGCGTAAAGACATGGAAGGAAAGAAAACCATATAGTATGACATACTAATAGGCTTCCCATTAAAAAGACAATAGCATGACCTACTTGATATGTCCTAAAGTATGCACAGGTTTCCTGACTCGGTAACATGATATTAAGGGTGTTCCCAGAGATTGAATCCAGGGAATGTCTGCTTGCCTTAGAAGACGAAGAAAACAGGATGAGAAAAGGTATTCATTTATGCATTTGCTGGGTGGGGATAACTGGAAATGATTTCAATAATTTAAAACCTGTAAGTCTGTACAGTTCAATTGTGTTGATGTTTTTTTTGAGGATTGTGTTACTAGCAAACATTAACATCCTTTCATTGCCAGAGGGTTGATACATTTGGAATGTGGTGCAAACCACAGTTCAAACTGTGGTTCTAATGTAGACATCCCTATTTTCATAGTTTAAACACTTTTATTTTTTTGTGCATTGAGTTCTATGTGACTGAACATCTAGCTGCCTTGTTATAGTAAACAAATATTTTTTTAAAAGACACAATAGTCAAAATAACAACTACAGCTTGATGTAGTTATTCTGCTGTGTGTAGTAAGTCCCTGCATTTTCATGCAAATACTGTCTTTTCAGACAGTCAGATGGCCACGGGAGGTGCTAACTGGGTCAGTGCTTCACAATGTGCAGCACTGATGTTCAGTGTCTCCATGTTCTGCATGGAGATGCTGAACTTAACTCATAGAGATGCATTGATTCAATGCATTTCTATGAGGAGATGTTGATTAGCCAGCGCAACATTTGGCTCCGCCCCACTCAGCCTGAATGGCCGTGATCATCAGAATTGATGATCTCAGCCAATACACTGCTTTCCTGTGTGAAAGCATTAAATTGACTTACAGTTGCAAGAAAAAGTATGTGAACCCTTTGGAATGATATGGATTTCTGCACAAATTGGTCATAAAATGTGATCTGATCATCATCTAAGTCACAATAATAGACAATCACAATCTGCTTAAACTAATAACACACAAAGAATGAAATGTTGCCATGTTTTTATTGAACACACCATGTAAACATTCACAGTGCAGGGAGAAAAAGTATGTGAACCCCCAGACTAATGACATCTCCAAGAGCTAATTGAAGTGAGATGTAAGCCAACTGGAGTCCAATCAATGAGATGAGATTGGAGGTGTTGGTTACAGCTGCCCTGCCCTATAAAAAACACACACCAGTTCTGGGTTTGCTTTTCACAAGAAGCATTGGCTGATGTGAATGATGCCTCGCACAAAAGAGCTTTCAGAAGACCTATGATTAAGAATTGTTGACTTGCATAAAGCTGGAAAGGGTTATAAAAGTATCTCCAAAAGCCTTGCTGTTCATCAGTCCATGGTAAGACAAATTGTCTATAAATGGAGAAAGTTCAGCACTGCTGCTACTCTCCCTAGCAGTGGCCATCCTGTAAAGATGACTGCAAGAGCACAGCGCAGACTGTTCAATGAGGTGAAGAAGAATCCTAGTGTCAGCTAAAGACTTACAAAAGTCACTGGCAAATGCTAACATCCCTGTTAGCGAATCTACAATACGTAAAACACTAAACAAGAATGGATTTCATGGAAGGAAATCCACAGAGGAAGCCACTGCTGTCCAAACCAAACATTGCTGCACATTTACAGTTTGCACAAGATCACCTGGATGTTCCACAGCAGTACTGGCAAAATATCCTGTGGACAGATGAAAATAAAGTTGAGTTTTATGGAAGAAACACACAACACTATGTGTGGCGAAAAAAAAGCACAGCACACCAACATCAAAACCTCATCCCAACTGTGAAGTATGGTGGTGGGGGCATCATGGTTTGGGGCTGCTTTGCAGCGTCAGGGCCTGGACGGATTGCTATCATCGAAGGAAAAATGAATTCCCAAGACATTTTGCAGGAGAACTTAAGGCCATCTGTCTACCAGCTGAAGCTCTACAGAAGATGGGTGTTGCAACAGGACAATGACCCAAAGCATAGAAGTAAAGAAGTAAACAACAGAATGGCTTAAACAGAAGAAAATACGCCTTCTAAAGTGGCCCAGTCAGAGTCCTGACCTCAACCCGATAGAGATGCTGTGGCATGACCTCAAGAAAGCGATTCACACCAGACATCCCAAGAATATTGCTGAACTGAAACAGTTCTGTAAAGAGGAATGGTCAAGAATTACTCCTGACCGTTGTGCACGTCTGATCTGCAACTACAGGACACGTTTGGTTGAAGTTATTGCTGCCAAAGGAGGTTCAACCAGTTATTAAATCCAAGGGTTCACATACTTTTACCACCTACACTGTGAAAGTTTACATGGTGTGTTCAATAAAAACATGGCAACAGTTCATTCTTTATGTGTTATTAGTTTAAGCAGACTGTGATTGTCTATTGTTGTGACTTAGATGATGATCAGATCACATTTTATGACCAATTTGTGCCGAAATCCATATCATTCCAAAGGATTCACATACTTTTTCTTACAACTGTACTTCTGTTTCAAGGAGCTGCACATCGTTGTTATAACTCTGTGAATAACAGAGCAACAATAATACAGTAAGCTGTCTTTAAACTTCATTGTGTTTAGAATTCAGTCTGTGTAAATAAGATACATTGTCTTTGTTTTAAATTACGTTTTAGTTGCATAAATTGTTATTAGCAAGTCACATTCCCCTCACACCACTCAAATTAATGTGTCTGTCTTTGTCAATTTGAAATATTGGGAGTTATGCTTCTAATGTGACTTGTTTTTTTAATCCAATAGTCCTTTCATATATCTCGTCAAGGTGCAATATAACAAAGGATGACTATCTCTATTGATATTTAAGATTGTTTTCCTCTATGTTCCAAGTATTACGCATGAAGCTCCTGTGTAACTTAACTGCAATTCTGTCATTTGTATATCATTCAAGTGTGTTTACTGACCTTGAATCTCTTATTTTCCCCTGTGATTTCAGTTTATGACATCCCTTGGGACTAGTTCTACCCATATCAACACTAACTTGATATTCTATTAACAGAACCTGTGCCAATTATACTTGACCTACTTTGCTCTCCATACATATTCTAGTTTAGCTGAACTTCACTTCTAGCTTGCTAGATACTGCTAGACAACCACTTTTAATTTTGGCATCAGGTAGGAAGGGTCTCGTTATCCAATAAAAGTCTTGATTTCATTCTTTTAGATATGCTTTTCAGAATATCATAATCCTCCAGAAGTCACATTTAAAGTCTATAGGGATTTTTGAACATAAATCATTTTAAAACATGTGTAATCATTTGAAAAATGTATCTAAAAATATTAAATTGAGGCCAAAGTTAGAGATTCAAAATATGTCAGCATGAAACTATGGGGCATATTATTTTAGCAATTAATAATTTCTGTGCAGTATTTTTTACTTAATATCTGACGTGAGTAAAACTTTCTCATGGGTAAGGATGATCACAGATGGATTAGCCATTAGGCAACCAAGGTCGGCACCTGTCTGGGCCTGGAGCTCAGGCTCTGAGAGGGCTGTCCTCCACCTGGAAGGAATCTTTAACCTATTAGCAATCTAAATAGGTAGAATGGCAGCATATCATACCTTCTTGCATACATACACACAAACATATACACACATACAGATATATATATATATATATATATATATATATACACAAAAAATAAGTAGCTTCACACTCACCCTTTCTCCAGAGTAATTACCGCATTATATGCTTGGGTGGAATCCCACGTTGTAAATATATAAAAATGAATGAAGAGATGCACTCTCAGGGCCTTTTTTGTAGATAAATATAAATTTATTCCATACAGGTATTTACATCAAAAAATGACCGACGTTTCGACCCATTCGGATCTTCCTTAAGATCCATATATATGTATATATATATATATACACACCCATATGAGAGAGAAGGGACCAACACTAAAAAGGAGCAGAGATTCATATTACTTACCTGGGGTGAAAACTTCTCCTAGGAACTTTTAAAGATTATGAGACAGAGTTTAACTCTGTTTCCTAAGTTCATGTTTGGTTCTTGTAGTTTCTCAAAACTGTGAGATAGTTCTAAATGACCATGTATGTCCTGCAGCCCAGGAAGAAGTTATTGGCTATTTGTTTAAACATAATTTTATATATTGTGAAGCCAGTTCAAAAAAATAACCTTCATACTATTCATAAGTACGTGGCATAATGAATGTTGATTGGTGATGATTTAATCCTAAATACAAAATATGATCCATTTTTGTTTCTGTATTGTTGATGATTCGCAAAGTTTTGATGCTTCATCTTACATACTAGTTTCAATTTACAAAATCTTTACTAATGACTAAGTTTTTAATTTTTTCAGAAAAAAAACCTGACAGCTGCATCCCTTAAACAATGTTGTGAATGTACTGTCAGAACCATTGATTGATACATTCAAACTGATTTCTGTAAATGTGCAGTTCTATGTAAAGTAGCTTTAACAACTACAATAATCAATTGTAAATGTAGTTTTTGACTTGTGAGGTCAAGATACAGTTTCTATAGAAACTGGAACTTTTACAGCACTAGTCACTATGTAAGGGGAGGAATAAAATATGTTACTGCCAATATTACAGAAAATAAAATTAGTACCTGCTAAAAAATGGCACTCATCATAGAGTAATAAAAGTGTATTACAATTACAAGACGTACATAGTAAATATGGTGTGACAACTTAAAGGGGAATTATCACTTCCTATGAATTTTAACATTATGTTGCCTTAACATTTATATTTAAAAAAATGTCTGTTGTGAGCTCTGAAAAGTAAAATAAAATACAGAAATTTAAAGATGTAAACAGCTCTATTCTGGTGTTGAGTTGATACATATTGG